ACTATAATTTATCAAGCTTAGTAACTCAGCTTTATTTTAGTCTAAAAAAATATGAAATTTCGAGCAGACTAAAGACACAACCTACCTCATTGAAATCTTGGTTCAAAAGAAAGAAGAAATGGCATTCTAAGAATTTAAAATGGCCAAGAAATCCACTAGGAAGACATTCTGAGCTTTTGATTGGTTTTTCATCTCATATATAGAAGTAAATGTATATAAGGGAGCATTTCCAAAAATGGAAAGAGGTGGGTGGGGTGCTATTCTGTTTGATTTATTACATGAGCAATATCTTAGCAAATACAAAAGATAATATGTTCTTATTTTATATTCTAGCTTTTCAATATCGGTAATTTGAGTTTCTAATTTGTACGAAACTATAGACTTAGTATTTTGACTTCACAAACATCTAATTTGTACCAGTGCTGCATTCAACACAAAAATCAATGTTTATCGATGTTTTTTTTAATATTTACTTTTAAATTAAGAAATTGAGCAATGTATAGCACTAAAATTTGAATTATATTCTACAGTTTGATATCAAACTTATGGACATAAGTTCATGAAATAGTAGTTCAATAAAATTTTGAATGCGAGTTAACAACCGAGAAAACATGGCCTTTCATCCCTGTCCTGTCTCGAAAGGGTTAATTGGAAAAGTTTGTTAGTACGTTAGTCACTTTAAATCAACTGCAAACTGGCATAAGGGATAGATATGGCAGAGAAAATTCCAAGACAGATTTTGCTGCAGCATCAGTAAACCCAGTCTCACAGATATTGACATGGCCAGAAATTCAGAAAAACTGAATAGATACAGATGTTAAAGAGAAGTGGGCCAGTAATTTTTGTATATTCAAGAGAACTAGGTAAGAACTCTCATTAAGTGATTCTAGAGCCATCAAAGAGCTAAGCAAATCATTATATATAATTCAATTAATAAATTGCTTAGTTTATATGTGATCCAAGGCAAGTGCTATTGCATACAACTCTGCAGTGAATACAGAATCTGTAAGCACACACCAAGTCTAGCAAACCATAGGAGTGCCCACAGTGTCACCAGATATCAAACCATCCATACAAATGGAAACAAAAAAAGGGTTCAAAAGATATTCAGTGAAGAGGAGAAGGTTGAGTTAGGTTGACACAAGAGATAAAGAAAACTTCCAAAAGTATCAAACACTGAGTGGGCATAGAAAAGGACTTAGACCCCAGGATAAATCCAGAAAGAGATTGGAAAGTTAAAGTCATTTCTCAAATGATAAGGTACTATCCAAAGCAAATCAGGTTAAAGTCATAGTCCGGTAGATAATTTCTGATTGAGGAGAAAGGAATTCAGCCAATGTAAGTACATGAAATCCATAACATGTTGAACAATGGCTGGAATGACCTTGACAGTTAACAAGTCTCTAGAAACCATAATAGTACTAAGGCCTGTGTGTAAACAACATCACTCACACAGGACTAAGTATATGTCACCATTATACAAAAATTCATGATTAGAAATTAAAACATTTGAAACAAATACCAAAGAAAATGAAAATCAAAGTTTTGTTAATAATGCAAATCTCAACAAATATAACTCTTAAAAGAAATTTAAACATGTCTGATCAATATAATACCAAGGAGAAAAATGTGGTTACTATAAGTGCAAATGCATAGAGGGGAGTTACTGCACATAGTGGTTGGATCACCCTACTATTGGTGGAGAGCTTTTGTAACATGATATCATCATGCACCAGCTCAATCACATTAAATCATATGAAACTAGATGGGAGTTGCTTTAAGGATAGTGGCTTGCAAGTCTCTCAGGCAGATGTGCAACGATGATAGCTAAACTATGTGCAAAGGTGAGTTACAGTCTTGGAATTGTAGTGTTGCCATGCCCTTTGCAATAGCTTTTAACATGGCCTTACATTCAATCAGATGTAACGTATACTCATGTGACAACAGTTACAACTTATTGCACTATTCAATTACAGGTAAACTTGAAGTCTTAAAATGCTTAACAGTACTCAAGTCTCATAAACACAGTAAGAGTATGTTTTCATATACTACAGCAATTTGCAACTGTTAAAATGACAGATTCAACATGACTCCAGAATGATGGAATTAAATGAATACAAAGATATCAAACCTTGGATATGAAAGGTCTGAGCAATGATATCTGCTTTTACATGTAATTTTCAAATCCTAATTTTATATGTGAGGATTGCAAAAAAGAAGATGAATTTGATAGAATGTATATATTCTACTTAATAAGAAGAGGTAACTTGCCAGACTATGAATGTCAAGTGATCTTTTTTTACATTTTCCAACAGTGATGCTTGTATTAGGTCATCAAAAAATTAATGTCACATTTTGGAACACCATTAACCATCCCACAAAAAACGTACATCACGTATAATAGTTAAACTAACCACCTAAACGTCACGTTAGTGTAGCATATATAAAGTGTAAAGTATAGTATACTTTAATCCCTTATAGTGATGGCACACAATGAGACACACTTTCGGCATGCAATGCAGTTTGAATACGAGAAGGGAAACAACGTCTCTGTAGCCACAGAAAATATCAAAGTAGTTTATGGATATGTTTTAAACATTCATAAGTGTCAACGATGGTTTCTTTCTGGTGACTTTAGCCTTAAAAACTGTGATGGCATGGGCCGACATGTTGGAATTGATATTGATGCTCTGAAGACACTTGTTGAGTCTAACACAAGGCAACACATTCGTGAAATGGCCCTGAAATTACATGTCTCTCATAAAAAAAATATGTAAACATCTAAGGATTAAGGGGAAAACTCCATAAAGAAGGTGTTGCATGCCTCATGAACTCTCCGATGATCACCATTTCCAAAGTGTGAACGTTGTTTCATCTGTTCTGGCACATAATGCGCGCGAACCATTTTTGGACAGAATTGTCACCGGTGATGAAAAATGGATTCTCTATGCGATTATTAAAGGCTAAAAAACAATGGCTCAGTCCTAGACAAAACCACTTTCGACCTCAAAGCCTGGTAGGACATATTCTCCGTATATGGCACCATCAGATTACCACCTTTTTTAGTTTGCTGCAACACCATCTTAATGGGAAAACATAGGCAAATGTGGAAAGTGTTAAAGAGGACATCAACATGTTTTTTGCTTCAAAGGCAAGTGCTTTCTTTAATCAGGGCATTAACGACCTGATTGTAAGATGGAAAAACATCATCAATAAGAATGGCGAGTATTTCATTTAATAAATGTTTTGTTTTGATATATAAATTGTTCGGGTTTTTTCATCTAAAAAACAGGGACATTAATTTCTTGGCGACTTAATAATTTGTCAATATCAAATGAATAGAAACTCATACGATAACCTTCTTAATCTGCAGTGTGTGTAATTATTGTTTATAGCATAGCATGTCACATGAATGACTGTATAACAATTTTGTATCTATATCTACAGTTAACAAACCCCCTTTAACTTAAACTGATAACAGTTCACCATGATCATAAAATACAGAAAAAAAAAGTTATGGTTATTAGAGCTTACCTATTTTCTAATATTGTTCTACAAATTACTTCTTGTACACCAGGGTTGCAAACTTTTTCTAAAGTCAAACCTTCTATGTTCCACACAGCAATACGTAGAGCTAACTTTCCATTCCTTGAATAATTAAATTTTTCTTCTATGATTGGTCGATTGCAATGATCAGACAGGAAACAGTACAAATTTTTACTTCTTTCATCTAAATGTCTAATTCTATCTATATCATATTTACATGGTGCTGACAATGTCCTCCTGTGGTTACTAATTCTCTTTGTTTTTTTTCTATAGTTTCGTGGTGTTTCCATAAGTAAGGGCATATTATCTCCATTTAATGGGGGGTTAACAGTGAGAAAAAATCTAATACAGGAAAGTTTTTGGAAATTAACCCCTTTAACTTTTAATAGGTCATCCACTGAATGGAATGGTCCTTTTCTCTCCCGATGGAGGATAATATTGGCTGCTACCTCTTGACTCACACCTCTTGCAGACATCAACTCAAACATATTAGCTGTATTAACATTAATCATCTTTACTGGTGAACTCCGAAAATTATGATGGTTATTTTCTGATACAGCAACAGATTCCAATGAAATATTTCCTGATGATGCCTGACTTCCTCCTTTAAGACCTCCCCGACGAGAACTTACACAGATTTCAGAGCGAACATGCTCCAATTTACTTGCTCCAACTCCAGATACAAGAGCCAAGTCTTCTACCTTCCTGAAACCACCAATAGCTTGACGATATTCTATAATGTTATGAGCAATGTTGCGATTGAAGCCTTGAAGTGTCATTAATTCCTCCTCAGTGGCAGTGTTTATGTTAATCAAGTCCCAATATATGTCATTATCATAAACATGAAAGGTTGCACTTAATACCCCACCTTTATTTCTGTACAATCGTTTACACTTCCCTTCCTTATCAGGATCAACTTCATTCTTAACAGCACTCTTACACTGTCCCATTTTTACTTCATTTTCAATACATAGAAGTTCAAAGAGAATATTCCCATTACTGCTCAAAGTTTCCCTTAAAAAAAAAAAACTGTGTTAGTAGACTTGAAATGAAATCTCTGCAAGTTAATCACAAATAAATACACATATTGAATCAACAACATACAATTCTCTTAATAAATTACAGCCAAAATAAGTACTTGTAATCAGTTGATTACTTTGTTATTCAAATATAAAAAAAATTATTAGAATACAGTATTCAAGATTTTGTTAGAATTAAGCATCTATCATGCAAAATAATTCAAGAAAAGAGGTAATAAAAGATAAAAACAAGTGATGCAGTGTTTCACACACAGAAGAAGTACAAGTTTACTTCTAATAATATGATTCCTGCATTCATAAATCATTCTTCTGTAACTGAAATAATCAGGTTATATTTTAATCTAGAAAAAATACCTTCTAAAATATGATCTATAAGATACATAAACAATGAATTATGATGTTTTATACTAAATTTTATAAAAAAAACAACTCTTAAGGCATGTGATAAACTGGTCTACATACAATTTGAATTTAATTATAGATGTTTTTATATTCATTCCTAGCAATTTTTAAATGACTGAAATACAGTAAAACGCAAAGGAATTTTAACAAATAGTTATGTTAAACATAGCTTGTCTTCCACCATATCTTCTAATAGAAGCATCGGACATATCCAAAATGTTGACAAGCTTCAAGTTAATAACCCACAGCTCTTTGAAAACACATCTCTATATAAAGCTATCAAGAACTTGAGTGAAATGCCACAAAAACAGTCAATCAAGACACACACACATCGAGATACAAGCTGGATTAATAGACAAAAACCAAGGTCATAATCAAAATTGTTAGAAAGCATCTGAATTACTGTGATTTATATCTTGCCATTTCTTTAAGTTGAAAGAAAAACCTTGGAATGCAAAATTAATGGAGCAGTTTCATGTAGCTGTTTTACCTTGAGAAGTCAAAATAATCTTGTTAACTGTTAGCTTCAACTGTTATTCAAGCATGCTTTAAGCTTAATAATCTTCAAATCATTGCTACATAATGAATTCCTTTTCTTTTGCAGTGAATAGGACTTCCTAACTTTAGAAACATTTTCTGATAAAAAACATGTTTTTGTCCATTCCAACTGGCATATAATTACTATAACATCTCTAAAAGCAGCAGCATTTGCTATAATTCAGAATGGTTGTCTTTAAGTAATAAGAATGAATTTAGAACAAACCATTTCCTACATGTCTCAAAAACTTGCAGTAACTATTGTACTACTGACACCTCCAAGTCAATTGAAGCTTTACACTGTATATTACACGTTCATTACTTCTTCAATGAATATCTGGCTATAACCTCTCTACAATCATCAGTTTATAAATATATAGGTCTTAACATTTTCAAAAGTCAATTTTTCTTCAGTGTGCATGTGAAAGGCCATATTCAGTCACATGACACATTACAATTGTAAATACACCTAAGAAAAAGTAGAAACATGTTATCTACAAAAATCAAAAATGCATTGAGCAGCATAGTAGATCTGATGATTCTTACAAGGATTTTGTAGAAAGCAAAGAATATTAAAATTAACCTTATAAACAAAGTATTGTTGTGTAGTATTTTTATAGTTTGATAACATTTATAACTCTGCTAATATAATGCAAATATTTGTAAAGTTAATGGATAAATGTTTCCTTCCTGTTTCTCTGTAATAACACATGATATTCACACACATAAATTCATTTTCATATATGTGGTTTTCTCATGAAAAGGCTTCTTCCAAAACCTTTTTCTTGCATTGTTTAGTGAAAATCAATTTGTTGAAAAAAAAAACTTTTTGGGGGCAAAAATACATATAGTAACCAGTACACCAAAGATAAAGCAAATAATTCTGATGTGAATAAACTTCCTACAACACGACTCCTAGTACAAAATACCTTTTTGTATGTCCTGTCTTATCACGGTGAAAACAACAGTACTTCATATCTCCTGTTGTCAAGATTCAAACCCATTCAAGACTCAGTCAAATATGTACAATAGTCAGAGAAAAAATATACATCTACACTACACGTAACTATCTCTTATTGTTGTGAATAAAGATGGATAATTCTAATTTGTTTCAGGGACAAAAAATGCTTTTCTGACCACTGAAACTGAACTAGCAAATTGAATTTTCAAATTTTTGTGTTTTAAACACTAACTCCAGCATTATCTTATTTAACAGTGATAAGTCATATTCACATTCAATCTGATCAAAAAATGAATATATTCCTTATAATTAATGGTTGTTACTCACTGCTGTATACTCAAAATTCCTTCAACATTTGCTCAAAATTATTCAAATTTTCCCCTTTATACATTTTTGTTTGTCTATTGAGCTTATTTATTAATTTAATATTAATATTTACATGAGAATTAAGCTACCATTTCATTAAATTGTTGTAGTTATGACCAAGCTATTTTATCATTATGACTACCCAGTTACGTAAGTTCACATGTAGTTTTCTTAGACTGCTAACTTTCATATTTAGAGTTTTATGTTTGATGGCAATACACAATTAAAGTGGACATACATTTGGAACATGATCATAGTTAACTTACCTGCCCATGCAGTTTCTCCATGTAATAACTTAAGTTTTAAATTACCACACCTATAATAATATTACTGTAAACACTAGAAAGAGATATGTATATTCAACATTGATGTGGAATTCTTTAGGAATGTAGTGAATATTCTGTCATCTGTTTGGAAGAGCTGTGTAATCTTTTATTGGAACATTTTTAGTACTGTCAGTGAGTGTTAAATGTTTTGTGAATTGTTAGGAATGATTTTGTAGTATTTTATTTTTAGTATTTATTATTACTAGGATGGAACAGATACAGTAGTGGTGGAAATGCTATTTATATTAACCTATAATTTGACAACAATGGCTTTGGTGTGAGCTGGATGAAGTTGGTGAAGTGTACTATTTCATAAATTTTACCTGTGCCACAACTCGTCATATTAAGGAAAGGATTATTTTCCATTTATTTTAACATCATATATTATTACTTATAATTTCTTGAAAAAGCCTGCTCATTGTTCAGAAAAACTGGAGAACCAACCAGCTTGTCTTCTAAATGTTACTTCTAAGATATCTGTGGCCAGCCTAATGTAAAAGTCCTTTCCAGTGTTTCTTGCAAGTTATATTTACCTCAGTCATCTAAAGTGAAATCAGGCATAAAGATTGAGTTCAATATAAGAGGTTGAATCCTAGAATTTGTGCTGACCCCTCAGGTGGAAGCCAGCTGCCTCACAGGAGGTAAAACAGAGTTCCTTTACTGATTTTACCAGTAGCTTTCTGGCTGTATGCTGTCTTCTGATTTCCCATTGTTTGATTTTCCTATCTACACTACAGTACATTGTTTTCCTGTAGTACTATTCCCTCTGAATGTTAATGAAGATCTTCCATAATTGCCATTTTATCTAACTAATGCTGAGGAGGTCAATATCCTGCCAGTACAGTTGTTTTAAATTCAACAATGGGGCTTCTCTTCTAAGCTTGCACAAACACCAGTGATGATCTTACTATGCAGTTCCTTTGCTTTCTACCATCCATCTGCAAACAAGTCACTTTGTATTTTACATAGTAGTACCTGTGAATTAATTGCAAATATATGTTGGTGACCCTGTCAGTGGAGTAGCAATTGCTCCTGCAATCTCTGAGATCTGGGGATGTCTAATTATCTCAATGGTGGCTGTATAGCACATGTCTATTCATGAGTGTTTCAAGCCATTCTCTGATTGGTTGGTGTCTTTGTTGTGGAGCTGGAATATAACAATTGAAAAGATCAGTGGTTTGATTGATGGGATGCATGGTCTTTGCACAGCAAAGTGATACTTAAGAGTTCTGCTTGTAAGTTCTATTGGTGTACTACAATGCTACTGAGGCTTTGAGGTATAATAGGGCCTTGACAGAGGTTATTGAAGTACATCCTGTGACCATTCTCAAACAGGTGTTTAGTATCCTTTCAATCTTATCTAGCTGCTTAGCAATTATACTAGTCATTGGTAGTGCATAATCCAAGATCTATTTTCTAGCAGGATGGTTGCCCTTTGGAACGGGTTGTCTTCGAATATTGTAGAGGCAGTAAATTTAAGTGAGTTTAAGAAAAAGTTTGATATGTATATGAATGATAAGGGCTGGATTTAAGATTATTATTTTTTAATTATTTTAATTTAGTTTAGAGGATGGAACAGCCAAGATGGACCAATAGGTTCCATGTTGTCCTAATAGGTTATTTTAAGACAGAGTGGACAAGACTTTGGTAAGCATAAGCAGGTGGCATTCATCATCTCCATTCCCTGCTGCAACTTTCAGTACCTCAATACCTTTGACAGCTTTGATTATCACAGTTTTAATGTGGCTTGGTGAAGTTGGGTTGCCAGTCATAGGTTAACCCCAAGTACTTCATTGTTTGTTTTTTCCACAGAGGTAGGAGTGCCCACAAAGATAATGATGGTTTATTCTCATTAGCATGTCTGTTGAGTGTGCAGAACATGGCTGACTTTGGCATGAAGGTACTTAGTTAAATAAGTTAACCAAACTTTTAAATGGGGACTGGATCCTTAAAGGATGCTGTTGGGAAGGTTTTTCTTGTTGGACACTATGAGATAGTTAAGCTTTTAATTGTTTTTTTTTTGTTGTTGTTTGTAAAAGAGAATATATTAGCAATATTCCTTACCCTAAGCATTCTATGAAAAATATTAGAATTGCCTTGAATCATGTAGATATTAATCCCTTCTTGGTAAGTAAAAAGACTGAGGTACTAAAAATATATAAAGCACAAATGTTAGACAAGATTTCCCCAGAATTTTGAGGTCAATGACTAGATATGTGAGCCACTCTTTTAATTTTGGTAGATCAATACAGTGGGAGCTCATCAGAGGACGAAAAGGAAGCCATGCCTCGTCAAAAATTTTGAAAATATAAAATATTTCTCACCAATTTTATTTTTTTAAAAATTTGTTTTGGGTGCAAAATACTTGAAAAAAGTTTATTTCTGTAGCAAAACCTTCAAAAAATTAGACTCTTGGTTGTTTTATTGCAAGTTTAGAGAAAATGTACCAAAAAAAGCCCAGATATGATCCTTCTTACTAGATTTAACAACAATTTTGAGGCTTGCTGCATAGCTAATGGAGCCAATCAGAATTTGAAATCATTTGAAAAAAGGTTTGCAACAACAGGAGCACACAAGCCTCACAAATTCATGGTGATCAAGGGCTGGTACAAATTTAATGATTCGGTGATTTTTAAGGATATAAACAGTTTATAGTGAGATTCATCAAATGATGTGGAGTGACTGTGTTAAAATGTTTGATAATTTATTTCAACTTGGAAATTATTTCATAGTTTTATGATTCAAACAACAGTTAAGTCTTTTCTGACACAAAAGTGATTGATGCTTACCAACAAGTTTACAGCTACGATAGACTGGTGACTTGAATTTGTGTAGAAATAAATTGAGACAACTAAAATAAGTACTTCTTTTACCATTCTATAATTTGATGTTGGGGTTAAAATATTGCCAACTTTTTCCTCAACATTAGTTGTAAGCTGTCTGGCCTAAGGTTGGATGATTTGCTACCTTTAAACCTATTTTTTAAAGAAAAGTGATAAGAAATTCCATGGAAATTGTGGGCAGGCCAGTTAGTCTTATTTCTATAGTTGGAAAAATCTTAAATAGTCTGATAAAAATTGCTAAGATTATTCAGTTAAATATGGTATTATAAAAAAAAAGCCAATATGGGTTCAAAGAGAAATCTTATATTACTAGTTTTTAATATTTTTTCAAGAATGTTACTTATTATTTGGCCAATAAAAAGGGTGAGGAATTGGTGTATTTAGATTTTCAAAAAGCTTTTGATAAGGTGCCACAGAAAAGATTAAGATGGAAAAAATCACATTAGTATAAGCTGGAAAAAAATTAGTTAATTAGATTGTACAGAGGTTAGATGGAATAAAGCAAAAGATTGTTCTTAAGAGAGTTCAGTTAAACTTGTTATTAGCAATGCACCGTTGTTTTGTTTTTTGTATTTAGATTAATTATGTTGATATGGACATAACTAGTAAAGTTTGTTAATGATGATAAGTTCTTGGATATTTCTAGCTACAATGACAATATTAAAGCTTTACAGAATGACTTGGATCAACTGATAGGTTGGATGAATATCTGACATATGACCTTCAATACAGATTGGAACAACCCACTCAACAGCATGACTTAGAAAAATGATCTTAAATAAATAAATCAGTCACAAAAGCCATTGAAGCAGTACTCTATTGCTGTATTGATAAAGTAAATACAATTTTAGGGTGTACTAGTAGACATACTGATTAGAAGTCAAAAGAGGTAACTATCTCTATATAAGTCTATAGTTAGGCCTCACCCAAAATATTGTGTACAATTTTTAGTCTTTCTCTCAGAATTAAAGGACATTGATTTAATAGAAAGAGTTCAGAATTTTGCTTATAGAGTGATTTAAGTTACAAAATGCATGACTTTTTAAGCAATGCAAATGTTTACAGTCAGTCTAAAAATACGAGGATGTAAGACTACAGATGACAAAATTCCTGCTTGAAACGTTTTTTTTATATATTAAAAACGTGTATTACGTACACTTCATAAAGTTAATGCTCACAAGGTGAAGTGCTGCATTTATAATTGATTTAAATTATAACATAAGTTATAACCACTGCCTTAAGTTACCCAACTAACGTTAACCTAGGTTAAACAAAGGATAAAATTTATGCCCAACCTTTCTTACAAATTGTATTTGCGTTATTAATCTACGTTGTTAATCCGTGAAAATCTAAGCACAAAGAAAAAACACTACTTGAAACAAGGTATAAAATTAAAAAGCATAACATAATATGATCGTGAATCATTGTGAAACTGAAACTTTGAAAGAGCCATCATTGCTTATTTTGAAGTTTTTGGTTTCACTTCCTCTGAAGGCGAAATATACAAACTGCAATTAAAAAAAAAAAGGTTTACACGTTAGGTTTGTATTATTAAACTTATACTAAATTACGGTACTATTAGTAGTCCCCACTAAATCAAGAAGCGCGGAATTCCCAGTTTCCGAGTTTTGATCCTCGTCTGATTCGTACTTAAGTTAAAGTGATCAGACTTAGTTAAAGTTAAACTTAAAGTCTATGTGAATGAATGGTGTAAATGAAAGATACAGACACTGGCCATGAATTGTTTGCTAACCTAAGCAACAGTTTCTTACTGGGTAAAAAACTCTTGCCTAATTTAAAGGCTAAAATGTAAACACGTCACAGCCATAGGCTAAATACTTCTATTACTATTAACCTAAATACAGACTAAGTATGCCATGTAAATATATTGTAATTTGTAATAACTAATAATAAAAGTAATATAATTTTACCTTTCTCATTTTACTTTTTAATGCATGGTAAGAAATTTATAATATTCTAACGTATAAATGATTAATCTGCCGCTCACTGTACTAAATGCAGGCTGTAAATTCATAAAATTATACTTCCTACTTTCAGTTCTACCGCATGTTGTATTAATTAACTAGCGTCATCTCAACTTCAGGAGGCTCAGTTTGAGAAAGAATGAAAATGATAAAACACTGTAAACAGTTGTAAGCTTAACATTAGTCTTATCTTTAAGCAGCTTCAGGTAACAATAAATATAAGGAGGTACAACGGAAATTTGATATAAATATGATTGGAAGCTGATATTAATTTAAATTGTTTGTCTTTGGATAAAATACTTAATAAGTGCAAAAAGGTGGATTTTTAGCTGTTTTTTGTTTTCTACAGCAGAATGTTTTTGTTTTTATAAATGGAGTCCTAGTGTGATAGTAGGACATATAATTATATTTTACTCACTCATAATCAGTATTGAATATATCTATGCATGGCTATATATTGTTACGACAACGGAAGTCACGTGACCCTGGTAACACGTGATGAGTTTCTAGAAGATTCACGAAGAGATGAGATGTACGCTTTAATAATATATAAGACCGCCAAGAAGTGACGGCAACAATGGAATTGAATTGCAGACAGAGATAGAGACGGACAATTGAGTCAAGCGCGGTAGTGCGTGAATCGTTCGTTGTGAATTATAGCGTTTGTTTAAGTTAAACTGACTGTGGAAATTAAGTGTATTGCAAAGTTCTATTGAGAAAGAATAAACTAGTTTTATTTAAGACAGGACTTGTATCGCTAAAGTTCATTCGGAAAGAATTTTTACGGAAAATTAACAAACGAACAGAGACGTAACAAATTGGTGTCAGAAGCGGGATAGAAAAAAAAAAGATGGAAACGAGAGGTGACAAATCAAACTACAGCTCAGCAGATTTGATGTCAGCAATACAAAAAACAAAAGAAACAAGAAGAACGAAAAGATAAACAATAAAACAAATTACAGCAGTTGTTGGAGAACAAAGAAAAGAAACAAGAAGGGAGATGACAGCAGTTGTTAGAGGACAAAGAAAAGAAACAAGAAGAGAAATTACAGCAGTTGTTGGAGGAAAAATAAAAGAAACAAGAAGAGAAG